GCGTTGTCTTCAAATACAAAGAGTATGAATCTAGAATCATCAAGATGCAACGCTGCAATGTTTCATATTCTGAGACTGCCAACTATGGTACTGACTACTGCTACGCAACGCTTAACAAAGCTATTGGTGAAGCTATCGTTCAAGCTGGGTTAAAGATGGATGTTAGAGTTACCCTTCAAGATCCTAAAGTCTCTGGTGGAACTGAATACGATGACCAATGGTGGATGACTATTAATGGTCTCAAGGGTCGCACTGGTATCGTTGACAACAATGGTGAATTCGAGCCAAAAGATCTAGGTCAGGTTATGCAACAATCTAAGCATGGTGCTGTGATGAATTTCGATCTGGTCTTTAGCATTCGTCTCACTAAAGAAAATAACAAGGAGAGGGGTCCAACTGATACCTTTAACATCATTCCCGAATGTAGCCGTGGTGCTATTAAGAGCATCAATCTCGAAATCGAGCCTCCGAACGTTGAGACTCAGATTCCAACCCAGAAAGCTGTCAAGGACGACGTTGCATCAGATGAGCTTGTAAACGCGCTCAACGCTCTCCTTAGTTAAATGTACAGTAACACTTGGTTTCGTATGTTAGTTCTATTGCCTTTTTAAAAAATTAGCGGCAAGAAGCCGCAACTCTTACCTATCATGGAGCAGTATACAAACGAACTTTCTTTATCTGTAGCGGAAGGCTATTTCGTTACGGAAATAAGTGATAGTAGCGGACGTCGAGCGAGCAATGACACAAGTATAACTGTCGCGCCTTATGTATACGATGACTGCCCATCAAAGGTTGAGCTTATTAACTTTCTCACCAAACGTTTCAAGTATTCCACTGGTATTGGTAATAGGATCAGGCTGTCGTCGCTTGCCGTTTGTTGTATCTGTTCTGTCGGATACTCTGTAAACCATCGCAGCGTCAGAGGCGTCACGGCGCGTGATATGCTAAGTATATGGGGAATGCTTGAAACCGCTACAGTTAGCTCCAGTAGCGATTTGTCGCACTGGTTACGCTCTTCTATAGGTGAACGAAGTCAAGACGGATATTCTATCTACATGAAAGTCGAGAACACTTCTGAATCATCAGTTGTGACACGTCGTACTTTCGCTTCACGGAAATTGGCTGCTAGGCCGACGGTCGTAGGTACTGCATTTTCAGAAATGATGTTTGGCGATGCTAGCACTGTGTGTAGCGCTATGGCTGCTGATATGAAAATGTTGTCTGCATTAAGGTTTATCGAGTCTGAACCAGTTCCTACATTCAAGCCAGGTGGGTATGTAGCGGATACATACGAGGAGATATGATTACATCTAATATTAAAACTTGCAGTTGTAACATCACTGCTACTGGCAACTGCGTTGCTTCTGACACTATGTCATCTTGTTGTCTCGAGATGCCTCAACTACCAGTACAGAAAGAATGCACGCTGAAGAAAATTGTCTGCAACTATCCGACTATAGCAGAACGGCTGTTCGAAAATTTATCTGCATCATATGTTTCATTGTTATCTTGCATGATAGGATATAACATGTCTAAAGGAGAGAGAAAGAGATATCTGAATCCCTTGCGTGATCTTCCAGAATATAAAGAATGGATAGAAAAAGAAGTTGCATTAGGGTCTAGAGTGTTGCTGATATCAAAGAGTTCGCCTAGTCTCATAGCTAGAATTCTTCATCCAATGAAGTACTGGAACAGCAAGAGAACGAAAGACGAGAAAATAAGAATACTTGTATTTTGCTTCCCAGGTAATGGTGAAGAAACACCTCGTATACCAAAGATTCATATGAATGATCTTAACCCTATGAGCCTTGTAGATCATCGCTTTATTAAACCGGTTATAAAAGAATATAAAATTAGAGACGATCAGTCATTATCAGTATTATTCACATCCTATACTGTGCTCAAAAGGATAGGGATGCCGTCTGTTCTCAGACTAAACTCCGAAGAACTCAACACATATTACGATCCTCCCATAGTGTCAGTGAAAAGAGGGGATGATGAAAGAAATTATATATTTACATCGTCTATAAATATTCATAACGGATATTTTAGTATGTCAGTATCAAGTTCAGAGCCGTATGGTACTGGGGTACACAATGATAGTGCCATTATACTGGCCATGGAAGATTTGCATTCTTACACAAGGCTGTGTATAGACGGCAACGACGGATGCTCCCATAAAAGTAAGAATATGGATCCGCTGACATTAAGAATGACTCAGGATTTTGCCCTTCCTGGCATTAGAAACTTGTTTGTCGGATAGGTGTCAAGATCACGTGTGAGCGGCACACATACAGGATTCTACCTAGGTCTCGGTGCAGTAGCGATGCCAGTTTGTCAATTTTAAAAATCGTTATATAGTACAAGTGTCGTCAATCTTTATATAAGTACAGTATCACTGCTCCACTAACCTTAAGTTATTAACAAAACTGTTCCAGGATCTAGATTCAGACACAGACAAGAGTGCGTCTCTGAAAGCACTACAAACTCTCGGCATCCGCGAAGGTTTTCCCTGCAGTCTAAAGCTCCCGTCACCGTATACATGTATGCATGTGTTCTTGTTCGGTTCATACCTGTTGTCACTAGGATCTGGAGCTGACGTGATCTTGTACGATGATGTCTTCACGTCATAGACACAGGTGCTGTAATCTGGAAAGTATGCTCTCAGTATATCCATACATTGTCTTGATATAGACTTAAGAACTGTTCCAGATATATCAGTA